GCATAATTCGAAGCAAGACTTTCTCATGGAAAATGATTTTTGCGCACTGCGTAGACAGTTCCGACAGTTTTAAAACTCCACTATTGAGTTTGATCTAAATCAAATAGGTAAAAACCAACCGATCATCCATTCTCGATAGTGCTTCACCGCTTCTTCGTAGTTAAGCCCTGAGTGCTGAAAAACACGGAGATTTTTACTGAAGGTTGTCTTGAAAAGAGGTGTGCTCAGGACCATTCTAGGACAGATAATGGAAATGAGGAAACATTTGATGAACGTACCTTTTCGAGATCGCTTGTTGCTAAGGTACATATGACTATTCCTATGGTAATAGCAAAGACTGAGAGATACTTTCTTAATGAGTACTTTTTCTTGAGGAGAATCACAGACAGTAGTAGATTAGCAAGGAGTGAACCCTATACAGAGTTTAAAAAGTGATATCTGATAATAAAATTATAAGGAAAACACTTACTGAACGAAAGATGATGTGTAAAGGAACAGGAACATGAAAATTTAACGCTTGATTGTTGATCACATTAACCGTGAAGAATGTGATAACAGTGGGTATATACCCTCTTAAACATATATTATTTATACCTTGAACACATGAAGGATATAGTATGTACAAAGGAAAAACCCAATGTATAAATAGTTGTCTCGAAAAAACATTTATAATGAAAATCAAAATTAGATTGTTTGTCGGATCTCACTTAATCAAAAATCAAAGTTCATTTTAATTTGAACACAGCGTATACCAATAATAGAGCGATGATTTTTCACCGCAACAATGTTTTTCATTTGGGCATTAATCAATATTCAAACAGCTCACCTGAGAGGAATTTTATTAGGAACGGAAAAAAACTTTGAGGTAAAGAATAATCCTTGAGTAGCTATAAACAAAAATGTGGAGAATGTCATGAGATTCATGGATGTTGGCTCAGTCCTGAATAAGTTTAAAAAAAACTCATAGGTTCACAAGAAATAGCAGGAAAAAAGAGATGCAAAATGTTCAAATAGGTCTTACTTGGCTATTTTTTCGACGAAAACCATACATCCCATGCATCCACCGAGAACTCCTAGGATAGAAGCAACAGGTGATGGCATTGCTGGAAGCTCAATGGTAGACAGTTCGCAATCGACTGTTGAATACACAACAACGCAACTGATGTAAATATGCACTCCATCTTTGCAATCAGGCTGGTGGTCAACACCAGCTCATAGGAAAAAAAGGCAAGAATGGGAGTTTAACAGGTGATCTTCAGTATTTTTAGTCAAAAGATATTTCTTTTCAAAAATATGAGTGCAACGATTTTGCTTTGTGCATACAGGAGCTCTCACTCTTAACAATAAAAAAA